TCGGTCAAGCACAATCACGTCTAACAATATGCGAACCTCTCATCTCTCTAGTAGTCATATAAGTGCTACATTTTTAGTTGTAATTCAACGATTCGGACAGTTTTCAATTGATAGCAAGGCGAAACATAGGATCAAATACCTTGATTTCATTTCTAGCCCAAAAGACGAGAGTTCTTCACAGAGCTTGTCGAGATCAGCTGTATCATTTTCGAAGTGGAAAGGAAAATTATAAATACACTGTTTTATTCCAACTGACTGTATCTGTTTATGATCATACAAACAAATAAATAGTAGGAGAGGAGAGTCGATTGCGGCTTGATAAATGAAAATTTGACTAGACAGTGAATGTTCGTCGATGGAAAGTCTAATTTTACAGGTTTCATTCATTGAGAGGTTCTCAACAATAGACATGTAGCATAAGATTCAAATAGCATCGATATTCAACTCCATTAGTTACAAAAAGCTACCGAAATATGACATCGTTTTTTTTTCTGTTAAAAGTATGTAGAGTAGAATGAGATTGATCTATTCTCTTTCATGATCGACAGTTTTCAAGTTCGATCGCATCAGAAGTTTACATTTATTCTGTGAGTAAAAATAATATTTACAGGAATCAATCGAAAATGATGTTTTTTTTGCAATGCTATGAGTGATTTTTCCTCATAATAACAATAGAAATTTTCCTAACTAATGACAAATTAGCTATCAACTTACTTCATGAAAGTTATTCAATCTCAATGCACGAATGCAAAGATTCATCTGAAATAGATTTTCTCTTTCGATACTTGTCGTACCGCATGAGACTTTCTCAAATAGAGTGAGGGATGTCTACAGAAAACATTCTTCATCGGTCAGCATCTAACATATCATTCGAATGACTATTAATTTACCTAGTTTTATTGTCATGAAACGTTGAGTCAATGTTATCGAGAGATAAATCGCTAACGAAAGGCTCAACAGAGCCACAATACTGCTGGTAAGTAGAATACATTTACGAGTGTTCAGTTGTCGTTTAAATATCCGATGCGTCCATCGAGATCCATAAATGGGCTTTTTCATTTCGTTTTGCTCAGGTAGTGATAAACTGGGTGCTTTGTTTTCTAAGCTTAGATTGGTACATGAGGTCGAACGATCCACAGTCGAAGTTAAATCAGATGGGATGCGTGTGATTGCTGAAAGGAAATTTCTAATCGTAAACAAAGTAAAGCCTTCTATCAATACGAACTAGCCGAAGGCATCTTATCTTCATCGTCGTTATCGAATAAAAGAATATCTTGAAGTGAGCAACTTCGTTGACTAAAGTGTTCCAAGGCTAGCTGATATTCTGGAAAAACAAATAACATGAAGAGCTAGTTAAATAAAATTCTTAATAAGAAAAAAAAAGGAACAAACCTTGAAGTCGTTTTGCAGCGTCATTACAATGTATTTTTTTGAATGCTTTAATGAGGTAATCACAATCTTGATCGCTGATTATTGCTTTTTCGAAAAGATTTTCCAGTACGCGAAGCGTTCCACTCAGTGAAGGATCATCGCGCAAATATTTCGGAACGTCTTCACCAAGAAGAAAATGCAAACGATGTCGATCGTTGTCAGATAGAATATCCTGTATTTTGAGCAGCAATGCTCGAAAATCAAATTCTCCACTCATTTGATAAATAAAAATCACTGTCTATAAAACATTAATAGAATATCAGTTAGTAAATATATTTGCTGAGGCAAATTAATCAGCTATGTCTACAATATGTACAACTTGCATAAGACGCTGTCACATAATGCAGAAGAGAAAAAATAGTAAGAAAAATATGATACGACTTTTTTTATCGTGTGGCGAAAGAAACAGCATAGATGATGGATAATATGGCTGAAGGAAAAGAAAAAGCGGCGAATTAATTAGCATACCACTAACAAAATTGATTAAACTCAACTTTATTTATATACTAGTGTCTGTACTTCGTTGATTTTTATATTCATAAATCTTCATGCCGACAAGCTTCATTGTGTTTATATCTATTCTAAGGTATCTTCTCTCCTTTTTTTCATCAAAGAGTCGATTTTGAGTTACTCTCTATGGCTATAAGTTTGCTGGTACGTTCGCGTTTTCTCTTTTTCTATTCTGAATATTTCATTTGTCGTGGATATTAAAGAAGAAAATCTATCGAGACAGAACTGATAGACGTTACATAAATGGAAGAAAGAACAACAAATCGTCGCAAAACGAAAGAAAAATACTAGGCTTCTGTAGTGTTCTAACACTTCCTTTTCTATGACAAACGAATGCCGCATTTTCTTCTCAGTCAGAATATGATAATGGGAAATTTTGCGGACAAAAGAAATGAGAATCTTAGGGAAAATCTCTTGGCAGCTGGCAACCAGAATGCAAGGGAGAACCCGATGAAATGAGTCAAGTTGAATATCAACAATTCAGATATCGAAAACAGCTGGATCCTAAACAAATAAAAGTGATAGAATAATCAATAACAATTTTGTAATGAAGAGTAAAAATATAATCTATACTTTTCTCAATGCCACAGAAAGTATCTTTTACCGATGAAAAATCTGATACATGTACTTATTTAGCAGATTGTTCGTCAATTTATCAGTGTAACAATGAACAAATGTCGCTACATAGTAGATTGTGATTGCTATTGGTTATTATCGGTGTTCTCCCGTTGTTCTCTCTATATGTTTAGATCGATAATAACTTTGGTTTAAATACTATTTCTTCTACTAGATGTGGATGTGGTTATGAATGTGCGGTATGAGTCTTGTCTTCAGGAATACTTACATCCACATTCTCTTTTAATCGGCTAAATTCTTCATTGGAAATCTGAATTTCTTGATTAGCAAAATCAATATCTTTACGACATTGAATGATTTTTTGTATCAATTGTTTCAATTTAAAATCTAGATCGGTAGCAAATGTGACTACCCCCGATGAGAGTTTATGAGATACTTCATTTTTTCCGTGACGAATTTTCTCTATCGATTTGTTTTATTAATTCATGTTTTGCGGATCAGCTGTTTTGTTCGTTGTTTTCTATTTTGAAATCATTAAATTGGTCTTTGATATTACCTAATTGTTTGCTCCATGCATTACGATGTTCACTGATGTGATCAAAACAAAAATCTTTAGAACACCAATTACATTTCACAGTGGGTTTTTATTTTTTACATTTACCATATGATATTTTACCAGCTGTTATCGCTATATGAAGATCTACTTTGAAAAAAAAGAAAGAATGAAAAAATATTGATAAAATGCGATAACAACACTATCTGAGTTCATTCTTTGTTTTGCCAATATAACAATTCTTCCACCATCAAGCTGTTCCGTTTTGTTCTTGGATTTCATCATGAGAAAATTCACAGCCAATGGCAATCAAAGTATCCAAACTTTTCGTCGAAAAAAGAAAGTTTGGGCGTTAATTGAATTCAAATTTAGAATTATTATCCAAAATAAAATTTTGACTCTCTGTTTCTTGACTGGTTGGTAATGGTGGTCTCTGCACGACGATTCCGTTCATAGTTCAATGTTTAGAGACTCATTGATGTTCGAAAAAAATTAGAAAACTTTTATTAATCCGATGTCCGAATGTTAAGAAATGAAATAGAGATCTTTGTTTTTCTAAAAACTTAGGAATAATTCTAATAATACACCAACATATAATGAATAATAAAGGTAAAGAATATAGATAAAACATGTTGGTAATAGAAATGAAATTACTATTTGAAATCTTTGAGTTTCATTGAAAGATATCTGTTGTATGTATAAATCAATCTCTCAGCTATTCATGTTTTTTTTTCTCATATGCAAAATGATTTAACTCATTAGTTAAAAAGAAATCGTAAAAATATGCCAATTTTATATGATTCCATTTTCCTTAAAGAGTTTGAATGTTTTTTTTACAAATTCAGTTTTTAAATTGAGCTTATCCTTATAGAGAAAAATCATATTTTACAGCTCTGAGCTGCCTAAATGTTGGTGTGTAGGGTGTGAATATCGATAAAAAGAAGAGCCACATCCACACTCAAACTCCAAGCAAATTCAAAGCGTTCAGCTTCTAACTAAATTATTTGATAAATGATTTAACATAACATAAATTGATGTCTATGGTTTATAAAATACAAGTTATCTCCAAGAATTTTGTGTTCATGAACTAATGGATGAAATTATACGTCTAGGTTCTTGAAAGAATATATATCAATGATTGTATTTATTTGCAGTCGAGAATAATTATCAACTTTTTTTTTTACCAGAAATAAAGATTTCAGCTATCTCTTTTGGACTTCGTGTACATCCAGACAACAAAGTGGAAAATACAAAAACCAAATATACAATCAAGTAAAGGACCTACATCAAGTGGAGTAAGTAAAAGTCGAGTATTGATCAATAATTCGTAGTACATAATGGTTATATTACGTTTCTCTTTTTCTTTATAAACATCAGCCAAATAGTGATACGTATAAGTAACTATTTCTTCTGGATACGTTAAAAAGCTTGCAGGTATTCGAAAACATGATTGATAATGTTTTGCTGAACTCAAAATTCGAATATCTTTGGTTGTTTCAATGAATTCTTTGAAAATATCAAGACCTTTGGACAATACAGTTAATTCAAGATCATTCATATTTCTTCTATAACTTCTACGCCCGAGACGTGTATAACATGTCATTTTATTTGTCAATGCGGGTGTGGGTGTGTGGTGGGTGTGGGTGTGGGTTAGAGACCTGCAATAAACTCCGAAAATCGACTCCGACGGAGTCGGAGTCGGAGCTAAAAACAAAGATTTTTTCGGAGTCGGAGTCGGAGTTAATGTAAATTTTAGAGACGCGGAAAATGTTTTTATTCTTTTCTTATATAACATGTTTGTTTTCATAATACTAAAGTCAAGTAAACAAAAACTATCAATTCAATAGTCAATTCACATGAAATAGAAATAAAAACAAAAGAAAACATTTGTACAAAATTAACTTTCACCATAGATCATTATAAAAAAATATCAGCACCATTCAATATTCCCACCTTCGTCGTCTGATGAATGTGTATTATCTTCTCGTGCCTTTTTGACAATTGTTTCACTTGAATGTTCAGACATCATTGAAACTTGATCAGAAATAGATCTTTTTGTTGGTACTTTATTGACTTGACGGAGCTCTTTCAATAGAACTAAGTTTTTTTGAAGAAACATGAGTTGATTAAGCTTTTCACTACCTAAATTCGTTCCACGTTCACCGACACTAAGTTTTGATGATGAAAAAAGGCGTTCAACTGTGGTGTTAGACGCCGGTATTGCAAAAATGTTCCTGGCAATCAATGATAACGTTGGAAATGAATTCTGTTGTTTACGCCAAAAATCCAAAACGTCAATATCACCATCTTGTTCCTCGTCCTCCTTAAAATAGAAATCTCGATTTAAATAATCGTCAACCCCTTGGTATCTGTTTGTTGATGATATCAATCCGTCCGGTTGTTGATCAAAACACTGTGCTAAAATACTCTTCCATACAGAAGAAGCACATTTAATTGAAGCAGGTGAAGATGATGCAGAAGCTAATTTCATCATCGATGTACTTGTTGTTGTTGAAGAAGGTGATAAAGAATTTATCGAATCAAGATTAGCATCATAATGGACATCAAATTCTTTTTTTAACACATCTATTGCAGCCTGCTTTTCGTCAGCACAACTCTCAAACTTTTTAAATTTTGGATGCAATATTGTAGCCAGGCGGTGCTCATTGGTAATAATCCAAGCAACTTTGATTCGATGGCCTACAAAAGACGAAGTAGAGATAAAAAAATGCTGACAATAAACTTCGATCTTTATCATTAGTTCCTAAACTTTAAACAAAAACAATGCAACTTTATGCGGTTCTGTATTTACCTAAAAATATTTTGAGTTCGATTATACTGGTTTGATCACCTTGGAAAGAATCACATTTGTTTAATAAATGTTGTTTTAATGGAATTACACGATGTAAACATGGTTTTTTATTTTCACTTAAAGATTCAATTACTTCTTCAAAAGGATGAAGAAAAATATACATCATCTAATGTTTGTTTATCAATTTCTTGGTAAGCATCAATTAATTTACTGTTAATCAGAACAGCCGGAAATTCGTCAAATAATTCACGAAAAACATCGAGCATGTATAGAGCACCATTAAAGCGTGTATCACTGTACGATTGTAATTTCTTTGATAAAATTTGTTGTTTATGTGAACGACGTACAGATGAAACAATATTTTTTATCGTAAAAAACAGACCTTGAATAGCATCACAATTAACATTTTCAATAACAGTTTTAGAAACATGAATTTGTTGAGATTCAAATGCATGTTTTAATTGACGATTTATATAATGATCGGAGCATCCAATACGTGTGCAATTTTCACGAAAAGCACTTAACATCTTTGCTTCGTTATCGGTAACAACATATTTTGAACTATCTAAACGTAATTTATATTCATTTAATTTTTGATCAACAAATGCATGAAGATGTTGTGCAGAATGAGATTCAGCATCGTATGGATAACATCCCAATATAAAATTAAATAAACGAAAATCACGATCTGTATGATGAACAGAAGTATCACAATAGCTTAGACCTAATGATCCAACATAAAAAAGTACCAACTGATGAAAAACAGTAAAACAATAAATAAATGAATTTTCTTACCGGTCTATTTCTCAGTCCATTAGTCGACGACAATACAAAAACTATCCATTCTTTCACAAATGTCAACTAATTATTTTTTTGCACCATCATAAATTCGAGTTATCTTTCTACTTATCTAAGAATACAGAAAACGGTAATAAAAAGTTGAGTTAAATAGTATACCAATTTTTGAAACTTTTACCGTAGTAGGATGTGGAATAAGTGCATCTACATCTAATGAAGATCTGTTAAGTACACGACCAGCATCAAATATTTCTTGTACAAGAATTTTGAATCCATCACCTGCCATTGTTTCGAATGCTCTATTATCAATAGCAGCAAATTCTGAACATGCACGTAATACTGCTGATTTAATTCGCTGTGGAATATGGATATTGTTCATTGATGGATAAAATTCTGTAACGCTTATTTGACCACTACTAATTGTTTGATCTGGTTTACTACATGATTTCAAATGTGTTTTCATATTATTTGTACCATTTGCAGATGTAAATAAAAGTAAGACTTTGCACGAATTACACGAAACGTATTGCTGTTGTTGATTGTTAACAAAAACTTGGTGGAAATGATCCCAAAGTTCACTTGTATTTGATTTTTTTTCTTAGGTACTAGTTTAACGGAATCATTTTCTTGTTTCATTAAACTTAAAATTTCTTCTTGTGATAAGAGCTTTGCAGTCATTCCAAATATATTTAATACTTAAAAAGAATTCGAAAATTTAATCAGCTTTGGTTTTTATATGTAAAATCTAGCATACCTATTTATTTGCTCATAATAATAGCTACATATATATCACCTTTTGGATGAATGAATATCTGATTTTATTGAAGAAAACAGCAAGTATATATACATAGGAGAG